TCAGCTTCCCGTAAGTCACTTTGGCACAGAATTAAGCTCTGAAGAGCAGGAGTTGGTGCGTGCAGTTATGGAACTGAAAAAAAATACAGCGAAGCGATGTGTTTGTGGGAAGCTTTTGTTACATCTGGCATGAAAACGCTCTCTGCAGGGTTTCGATCTGAGAAGACAGTTTTATAGAAAATCGGAACATCTGGATTGGAGCAATTCGTTGTTAGCGAAACTCGCTGAGAGTCGGTCTGTACGTCGCCTTCAGCTCTGTTCACTTAGTGCCTACGAGGTAGCTCGATCCTATGTCTGTCTTTTGTTTGTTTTTTGAGAACAGCTGAACGCTGCGCCGCGTTGGCGAAAGTAATTCGTGTGTCGTATGAAGTAGCGCGAAGTATAATTTGCTCAGAATACACAAATATTCGTTGTAGTCTGTGGTACTTTCATTACAGTGAAAGGCCACAAAATGGGCTGAGGTCGTGTGTGCCCGTCTGTAAGTGCCGACTGGATCTGTGTCAGATCCGATGTTCGTTCGCTTCCCTTTCGGTGTGTACCTGTCCGATACATGGGGCACAGTGGAACCGTCTCGCGATTCTTTCCAAAACGGCACTTCCTGATAGACGTTTTTGCATGAAATAAACCGTGAGCGTAGATTCATTTCAGACGTAGCCTAACTTTTGCCTCGCAGTGTAACAAATGGTTCGATTTTATTTCCAATAAACGTGCGAGAGGAATATTTTTAACGGAAGTGCTCTTGCGGTCATGTCTGAAACTGCTCGTTTGTGTTTTGGGCACCAATAAGAACGCGGAACGGGGGCTTAGCCCTCTTCTTCTGTTCAGGACGCGAACACCTCCCTCGCTGGACATGAAAATGTCAGGAGGAGAATAAGAACCACGTCAGAATCCGCCCCTAGCTATTATATCACACGCCACACCGCCATTCCTCAACATATTGTCGTACTTTATCCTTCAGCCTTCCTCGCCAACACCTCGGGAAATCCCAGCCCTTTTAGCCCTACCCACGTCTGCTTCTCCGTTGCACAGACGTCATAAGTCTGCAAGATAAAGTCTCAGACGCTGCAAGTGGATGGCCCCTTTACCGAAATGATCCTTTATTGTAAGGGCGGGAGGCTGAATGCGTTCACAAAAGTAAAAATTACCCCCAGACCCCCTCACCCCTCTAGACGACGGAGTTACGGAGCTATGGTTTTACTGTTCCATTACAGCTAAAAGCTAAAAGCCATAGCTTCTTGGAGGAATAAGACATTCATCAAGATTTCTCTGCGTCGGAAGACGCCTTTCCTTTATATTTCGCTCGGTGCCTTCTCTTAGAGTCGGAAATTACTCATATCCACGTGTTCTGGTTCTCGTACTTTTCCCAGGCGAATCGCAGCTTGGCATGTCTTGAGGGAGTCTCGCCCGTCCGACCTCCGAAAGCGTCCTCATGGTAACAGCGACACAGCGAGAATGTGTTCTGTCGGGTATTCGCTTTCGACGGCGTAGAAGATGCTATTTCGCTCATGAAGGTGTAGATAGAAGGATGTTATTAAAGTTGGTTTTAAAGAAGTATTGTGTGGAATAAATTAATCTGGGTGACAATAGGATCCATTAGCGGGCTCTTGTGAACACGGTAATGAATCTTGACGTTTCATACAAATGAGGGTAATTTCTGAGACAAGCCGAACGAGTATCAAATTACGAAGAATGATTACACTGCATGAAACATCGGCCACGCGTGAGGTGGGATCAGAGATTAGGCAGTGCACGCGGCAGGCACCTCTGAAACGTCGATAAACTTCGACCAGACTACACTGCGTTTTATCCCTTTCTTTATAGCCTGAACTTTGTTTGCAATGTAATCATAAATGTATCTCATCCATGAACACGGCCTTCGAAACTTGGATTCCTTCGTAGTTTTGCTGAATCAGGACGTAAGTTGGTATTGGTTGCAATATTTGCAGATAATTCACACTGTTTTTTTTTTCAACCCGCGTTGAATTTGTAGGTGGCTTTGGAGCACTTTTAAATAGGCGATAGTCTCCGGCGACCTGAGCTAATTGTAAATACGTAAACAGATGACGCAGTCCTCACACATCCTTTGTGGTAAGGTTCTTCGTGTGCGCGTGTTCTGCAGACTCTGACTGGTCGTCAGAAGCACCAGGACTTTTGATGGCTTACGATTCGAATGCCCAGTTTTGGCGGGACGAGTAACACGATGTCAAGGAAAAGGCGAAAAGGAATTCAGCGTGAAGAATAAGACCAAGGAGAGAAGAAAAGTGGGGAGAATGAGACGCAGAAGAGCGACCGAAACGTAATTTCCGATACTGCATGCTACATGATCGCCATTTCTCTGCATTCGCTCCAAACTGATGGAGTGATCGATTTTTTATCTTATCATGTTGCGTCTGTGCATCATACGCCGTTGTTAAATGTTGCTGTAAACATGGCCGCCTTTCATTATTTTCAGTCTGGTGTGATCTGATTATACGGAGTTGGCAGGGGATGGTTTCATTTTGAATCTCTGCGGGACCGAATAACAGCATATTGGTTGTTAGTTCTGAACCTCCCTGCTGTTACTCTCGTCGAGCTCATACGCACTGCACCCTTCCACATCGTGTGTCAGTAATGCAAAGGAAAGGCCGCGTCCATCAAACTGTGTCATATTTTAATGTCCACGTCGTATTCACTTTGCAGTAACATTTTTCACAAACGAGGCTCTGGCGACCGTGTCATGCCAGTGTAAGTATTAGGTGGACAACAGGAGAAGTAACGCGAGTTGTAGGATATCCACTTGTGGCGCTGCAGTTCCTACCTGCGGCAGTCGTGAACTGCCCGTCACTGCCCTGTTCCACGAACACCGATTCGCGGTTGAACGAACGTCAGACCCTTTCAGAAAATAGTCACTGTCTTAAAACGTTTGATACACGTCAGCTTTAGTGCTGATTATAATGTATACCTCGAAGATAGAGCAACTC